TAGCAGAGATTATTTAGGGAAGGGAGGGCAGGTTAGCAGCAACCTTTAGAAACTCCTAGGGCAGGCTAGCAGATATTATTTTGGAGAGGCAGGCGGGCAGAGGCCTTTTAGGAAGCCAGGCAAGCTAGCTGAGGCCTTTTTGAAATTCAGGAAGGTTAGCCAGAATCTTTTCGCACCTCGCTTGTTTCCGAAGCCATAAAAAATATAGCCGAATCTAGCTGTCAGCCAGGTGTGAGTGGCTGCACTTTTTATGAGGCCCCGGAAATAGCGGCAATTCCATAGCCCCGCGCCGCTTCTAGATAACGCCCTAAAAAGGTGAGAAGGTGAGAAATTAGCTCTCGTGTGGGTGTGGGGTGTTGAATAGAAAGAAATAGGAGGTGGGGATCGGCCAAAAATGCCAATAGAATGACAGGGTTTCGGGTTGAAAGGTCTGGAAGGCGGGGTGAATCATTTGAATGGCAGGGGAGGGGTGATTAAAGGGACTGGCAAAGCTAATACAAAAATTTGGTTGAAAAATTCCTAAAAATAGCTGCTAGTTTTCCCGCAATATTGTAAGTGATGTTTGTTAATCAGCCGTCTTCAAAAATGGTCTATGCTCGATTGCCTTCTTTTCTCAAATGGCCTCAGCTAGCCAGCCCTGTTTCCCCCAATGGTCTCCGCTAGCCTGCCGACTTTTCAAGTGGTCTCTGCTAGCTGCCGTTTTCCCCAAATGATCTCTGCTAGCCGGCCATCCATTCCCAAATTGTGTCTGTTATCCTGTCCTTTGGCCCAGAAAACAAAAAATAGCATTCCCTCGACTGCTACCTAAACTAACATCACTAAAAGAATTTTCAACGTCATAAAAGCTTAAAAAACGCTTCTTTCCGGTAAGCCGGCTGCCTGGAACCCAGTTATCAAAGCTGCTTTCAGAAAAAGCGGGCATAAAAACGGGGCGAACGGCTGGAGATAAGCGATTGACGTGTCGCGTACGCAACATTACGCCGCGAAAAGAGAAATATAGCTTTTTATAGATGTCGCTAAAATCTTATAAAGGGCTCTCTGCTTGTTACGTCAGGAAATGGTATAAAGGTAGCACACAGCATTTAGGATTAAAAAGTAGCCAGCAGAGACCATTTGATGCGTACAGCAGGCGAGCAGTGATCGTTTAGGAATTAAAGGCCAGCTAGCAGGAACCATTTCGGAACAAAGCAGCCAATAGGAAAGGCCAAAATAAGGGCCCCTATCGGCGGCCCGCTAATAAGCTAATGATGCCCCATCCACCTGGCTGGCATATCGTAAAGCCCGAAATTGGTGGTGGCCGCTGGTTGCTGCCGATTGTTTCTCTCTCTCTCTCTCTCTCTCTCTCTCTCTCTCTCTGGCTCTCTTCTATATATACCCTGAGGCTATATTTGTGGATCGACACCGAAGAGGAGAAGGGTGGATGGATGTATGCCCAACTGGAAGACGAGAGAAGAGGATCCAATTCCACCAATATCCACACTATACCACTTCTAATTCTTTGATAGAGCCTCTATAGCCGTCTCAAAGTAGGTATCGGTTTACTAAAAAAGGAAACGGTGATCTTAGTATAGTAGCGGAAGCCAGAGAATCGTTTTTGGCGTTTTTAAAGAGACTTGGAAGTCATAGTTCGCAAAAAATGTTACTGAATTACGGTACTGTAGGTAAATTCCCTTGAAGTGCTTTTCTTGCACTGTAAAGGGACTTGGAAATAGTAATTCAGCGAAAATAAGTATAAGCTACCGTATGCCAGGAACACGGGTAGAAGAGCATTGCATTTTATCTAAAAATATCTTAAGAAAGCGACAGCAGGCAAGCAGAGAACTTTTGAGAACAGTGAATCTAGATTTATGGCGATCTAGATCGAGATCTAGCAGTCATCTTTTAGGAAATTGACGCTTTTCCGATTTCGGGAAAGCCGTTTGGGAAAATCGTAAGCACTTTTAAAGGATCGTAGAAGGCTGGAATCAGGATGTTTCAGATATTTAAACACACGGTGTCCTACGGTTTAAAGGCATCGAGAAGGCAAAAATGCGTAGATTTTCCAAAAAATTCCTCAATGTTCCGATCGCCAGTCACACTACTGCCTTATCGACCGCGAAGGCAAGACGTCTTCTGTCTTATATGGACCCTTTGCAACTTTTAAAGGAACCTAGAAGGCATAAATCCAGAATTGCATTTATTTAAAGAAAATTTAAAGGTGGCGAGAAGGCAAGTACCTGTATTGTCTGCCAAAAATTTCGAAAGACTCCTTTCGCCACTTCCAGCCCTCCCCGTATGGTAACAGGGTCAAAGTGACACCAGCCGGCTGTATCTCTCCATGTGGATAGGAGTCGCGCATAGTCACAACTTTTTGTACCCGGGCCATCTAGTATGCGGCTGGGCGGTCAGCAGTGGTTTGTGGGTTTTGCATACCACTGCCCCGGGGGGTGCAGCTGCGAATTCCGGACGCCCTCAAAAACGGCCCATTCGACCCGAGGGGCTAGCTAGCTCGAGGGGGGTCGTTGCGGGACCACCATTGGATCGTGGAAAAGCAGGATGGGGACCGGAAGGAGATTCCACCACACACCTTTGTACACATACACAGAACTGAAACTTGACGTGAAGTTTTTCCGGATTTGGCTGACGACGGATTTGAAAGGTGTCAGTGGTCTTAAAGGGACGGAGAAGGCAAGACATTTTCGTGGTGGTTTGGATTGGCTTGGAGCTTTGATAGGTTCAGCTGCGAGTCCTATATTTTTGGAGGAATCGAGAAGTCAAAACCTTCGACCTACAACGTCCAAATGCTATGTTTCTTATAAATCTAAGTTGAATTGAGCTTCTGGGTAAGCCGGAATTACGCATTTTAAATCAAAACCCAGAGACTGAAGCTTTGATTTTGTTTTTTTTTCTGGCAGCTCTAACGATTTTCGTAAATTTGAAAGGGACCGGAAAGCCAAAACCTTGAAATTCACATTTTTCCCACCGTTTAAAGGGAGTTTTTGAGAATTTCCAGGTATTTGGAGAGGAAGACTAAGAACTATTCGGCCGCATCCGGAATATCGTGAAATCTGCAGGTCCGGAGCCACGTTTGACAAGTGTTGCAGCGTGAAAGTGCTGAGGCCCGTCTGTAGATATGTAAATGAGGGAGGTGTTGTATAGCTTTTCGATGTCGCGATGTGCGACATTTACAGCCTTCCGCTTCGAAGCCGGTGCTGACGAGGCGTTTATAGGGGTCGCTGGCGAGTGTTTGCTATTTCAAGGGTAGTGGAACGATGATAGAATATACGATAAAATATCCACTTTTCAGTCAACTGAGCAAGTAGCAAAATTATTTTACAAAATCCCACTATTAGGGCCAGAAACTTTAAAAGAATTACTGCTTGCTTCCGACGGTTCTGACCTGATTAAGTTGCTGTTCAGTGCGAGGGGTTTTGTGGTATTTTTTTTGCATCCCTCTGTTGCTATAAATCCATTTAGAGTGCATTTTCGGCTCAATTCTGCCCTGGTCGCAGGTGGTCGGCCTCGACCTACCTGCCGTGGGGGATGAGAGTAAGGGGGACAAAGGAAAGTATTGAGGGGATGGGTCTACCTCCAATCACTCAATTACCCCCTTCAATAAGGATTAACGCATAGCGCACGCGCAGCCTGCTAGCTTGCCTTATTGGACCGACGCTTATTTCTATAGCTTGTCACGAAGCTAATTTGGATTTCTCAGTGGTGTCGGCCACCTTGCCACAAATCCTATCTAGAACATTTTAAAGCGTTTTTGACGCTGCATCATCGCATGGTCTCTGCTAGCTTGGCCTTGGTTGCGTATAGCTTTCATCGAAATTCTGCAAAATTCTTACAATTTCCCCAATGATCTTTGCTAGGTTTGCTTCCTACAACCGATCGATCATCATCCTCTTCCTATTTTAACGACCTTTGGCCGTAAAATCCAGCAAATTTTACCTTGGTTCCCCAATAATAGCTGCTAGCTTCCCCTGGTCTGAATCGACAGTCTTTAAAGTATAGTTTCAGAAATTCCCTAAGGATCTCTGCTAGCTTTCGATTGGTCCGAGCTGGCTCGTTTTAAAGGGAACGTGCCAACAAGTCTATCAAATCTTTAGAGCTTTCCCAAATGGTTTCTGCTAGCTAGCATCGCTCTGTAAATGGAACGTACTGGCAAGGCGCATTTTTCTTGCCAAAAAAATCTCGATTCGACAAAAACTTTATCCATGCGAATAAAAAAAGTGAGATACACAGCGCGACGGGGAAAAATATGGGGGTACGGTAGCGGGTGAGACTTTTTGGATTTACATAGAAAAATCATGTTGGAAGATCTGAAAGAGATACACAAAAATGACATCAAAATGGGATGTATCGTAACCGAGGAAAAGGCGAGGATGGAACTTACAAAATTTAGAAATTAAAAATTTCAAAATTTGCATATTCCAAGTTTGGATATTGCGAGAATCGATGTGCTACAGTAGCTGTAAATTAAATGCCGGGTGGAGGGAGGGATTGGAAAAAAATAAAAATGACAAATGGGTAATAGAGAGGAGGCTATTCGAGGGGGGCTGCTTGGGGGGTATTTCAGGATATTTTGATCGCCACAAAAAAAAAATCGAAAGTCTACGGTAGCGACTACGATAGCCTAAGAACTTTTTGGACAATCTCACACGGGTGCGAAACGGGGCACCCCCGGGCTCGAACCGGCTCACTCAGGGTTACGGTCGTTGGGGCAACTTTTAGGGATCGAGGGTGGCTGGGAGTTGTAGCTAAGGGCAAAAATTTTTTACTTCATTGGCCCTTTAAAACGAAGTGCACAAACTACAAATCTTTACACCCCCTAAAAATTTGCATACGACAAAGCAAAAGGCGCCTAACGAAACATTTGACAAATGGCAGGAGTGAAAGCCTGAAATTTTTGTAGGGGGATCTTTGTGGAACTTTCGGACTACGTGGGCGAGGGCAATTTACACGTGCTGGGGGAGTTCAAGGAGTTCAGGGTTCGCCCTATCCAAGTCGCTGGTCGTCTACCAGAACTTGATCTTCGGGACGACCTGCTTTTTCCAGAATTTGTGGACGGTGGTGGGGAAGTGCTCGACCCATTGTCGGGCCTTGACGGGGTCGGTGAACAGGATGAAGTAGATGAGGCTGACGATGATGAACACCAAGAAGATGCACGCGATTGTGTCCTGAAAAGTATAGTTTTGAGAGTGTAACAGCTCTGAAATCTGAAAAAATCTTTTTTTTTGCGGCTAAATTTGAAGGCTAAAGCTAATTCAAGCCTTAGTGGCGACTCATTTCCTAAAAGATCTCAGCTAGTCTGCCCACCTTTTGCTGCTGGTTGAGTCTGCTGCAGTTCAACTTGTCGCAAAAGCTGATCGGGCACCAGTTGCTCGACTTCTCGACCTTCTTCGGTGATGAGCTGGGGGCCGGCGCGAAGCGGGACGCCTAGAAATAGGGATTTAGATCATTCTCAAGCGATCTCTGCTAGCTTGCCACCCAGTAATAGACAATAAAGTGTATATAAAAGTAGTAACATACCTCCTTAATACGCTGGACACGCTGACGGATCTCATTGAGGGTGGGTTCAGAAGAAGTATGACTGGTTGTCTGGCGCGAAGAAGAACGGTTGGCCGACTGGACGGTGGTCACTTTTGATGGTGTCTTGGCCGGGGTCCTGGCTGGGGACTTTGAGACCGACTTGGCGCGGGGCTTCGAGGCCGAGCGGGGCTTCGATGGGGTGCGCTTGACTGCCTGAAAATCGAAAAATTACTTTGGAAAATCCTAGATCAAGTTATCTGCAAATTTTGAACGGTTTTTGCCTCAAAAATTGCATTCGATTTGGAATTTTTCGGCTAAATAGGGAAAGAAAAATGGCTAGAAAGAATGTGAGTCCAGGAAAAGACTAGCTTATGAAGCAAGCTTCCGCTTTGCAGCTTCTCGTGCTCAGAAATTTAGCACGAACCTGGCTCTTCGCTGGCTGACGTCCACGGCTGGTCGAACGGGGACGACCAGGCGACTTGGATGGAGACTTCTTGGCTGGGCTCTGCAAAAATTTGCGTAAAATTGATACTTTTGGAATCAGATAAAAAAGCTGATAAAACGTATATAATTCCTACCTTCTTGGAGCGAGCCGGCGACTTGGAGGTGGACTTTCCGGTGGACTTCCGTCCGCGAGACACGGAGCGCGACTTGGGTTCGGCACGGGCCTAAAAAAACAGGTTTTTTAACGTTTTAATCGATCTTTGGCTAATTTTTACAATAATAAACCCATGACGCTATTAAAAGCTTAATTTCCAACCATTTAAAAAAGCTACAGTAACCCTAGAACCACTCAAACTGCGTAGAAACCGTTTTTTTGCCGAAATTTTCATAAAAACCGTTTAAAGACGCCTTCAAGCGTGTTATTTTGCTTTTCTATAAAAAAAATCTGGCACCTCGCCAAAAATCGCGCTGACCCCTAAAACTTGCCAAGCCCTTGAAACCCCCCCAAAAAACTCACCATTTCGAATTTACTATCTGTTGTGCTCCGAAAAGCTACAGATTACGGGTGGTGATCGAATACGGTATACGGCAGCCCCGGAAAAGGTCGACCGTGTGAATAGGCGGAATTGGTATCTGCGAGGAGAGGGGAAGAGGAGATGGCTGGGGTGGGAGGTTGGCAAGAGGCCAGAAGAGCCGAGAGAGCGAGAGATGGCGTCTCTTGGAGGGGACAGGGAAGGGGAGGGAGGGAGAGAGTGGGAGAGAGGGAGAGAGGGTGGGGAGGGGGATGGGAGAGGGAGAGGGGGAGAGGGAGAGGGTACAGACAGACATGGGATAGGATAGGGCGATGGACGGGGTCACAGCCTATGTCTCTGGCTCTCTACGTACCACTGTGACCTAGGAGGCCCTACCCCCCGCCTAACCCAAGCCATACCCTATGCCGTTCAGGGGATTGCCGTGGAAATTGGGGGTGAATGGGGGTTGGGATCCTAAACGATCGATGCTAGTATGCCGTTAAAATCGATGATATGCAAGGCTTTGGAAGAGCTAAAGGTAGTCTGACAGTTAGCCCTGGAATCGCTGGATTTCTATAAGCCTCAGTATAAACATAAACCTATCTGCTCGAAAAACGGTCAAACTGATCCGGAAGGTCTGAATCCCAAAGAATCTCGGCCAGTTGGCCAACCGTTGCAAATCAACGAATCACTGCTGGCTTGCTCAACATAACTCGATCTAGCGGCCGGATCGTCTATGGGTTTCTGCTAGCCTGCCGGACCACGGAAAACAGCTCCGATCCCGAGCATCCCAAGAATCGCTGCTAGCTTGCCTCGGCCACAATCTGCAGTCCGTGAATCCCAAAGGATCTCTGCCAGCTTGCCCCCAGTTCGATTCCACTGTTTCCGACGACCCTCATTCCCACAGGCTCTCTGCTCGACTGCCCACCGCCGACGTTTCAAAGGATTTCGATGGCCTTCAGCCCGTTTACGGCTTTTGCAAAAAAGCGCGGCCCCGGGGCGAGTCTTGCTCTTTCTGACCAGCATGAGCTTCCGGAGGATCCGAGAAATTCTCCCCAACAATCGCTGCTAGGTTGTCCTTCCCAGTTTTGCCCAGGCCCAAGAGAAAGCAGAGAGATCAGATAAGGTACGCCCCAGTTTCGGGAAATAAATCTGGGGCCCTGACAGTTTGTGAAATCGGGGTGAATTTACACCGTTTCGAATCGGGAATCGGTAGTTTACGGAGGTTAATTGGCATTTTAAAGGACGATTGAAGGCTTACCATCTCGTGGAGCAATGAGAAGGTGGTCAACATGTAGTCACGGATTGGAATGTAGGGGGGAAGGTAAGGGGAGGGACTGTATTTGGGGGCGCGGATTAATTTATGCAGACTGCTTAATTGTGAGGGTAGTGACCGGTTGAGGGGTGGATTAATCTGTGGGTTTCATGCAGAGGAGAGAGAGCGAGAAAGAGTGAGAGAGAGAAAGAGAAAGAAAGAAAGAAGGGAGAGAAAAAGGGAGGGCAAAAGAGAGATACAGAGCAAAATACAGCTATAAAACTTATTTCAAAAGCTATTTCTACTAGATATCCCATTCCACAAGAGTCTCTGCTCGTTGCCTCCAAAACGAAATAAGATAGACCTCTCGCTGTCCCAAGGAATCGTTTCTAGCTAGCCTCCTTTTTGAGAGGAGCCTAGCTCGCCACCTTGGCCTGATTGTCACGCTCCCTTTAAAATGCCCAAAGAATCTCTGCTAATCCCCCTAATTCTTGAAAATGTCGAAAAACCCACCATTGTTCTGCTGGTTTTTTGGTGCTGCTGGTTGTGACGGCCGATGGATGGCACGAAAAAGTACCGGCTATCAATCGCTGGTCTGGAATGGACCAAAAAATGGCTGGACAGTTATAAAGTGGAAAGCGTAAAAAAGAAGAAGACGAATATTTGGAGAAGATACGGACAGATAGACAGACAGACAGGAACAAACAAACAGACAGATCTTAGGGCCTGATAACGCCAGTTTTTTGGCAAGGTGACCTTGTCCTTTCTGGGGGAGGAATTCAAATTTTAGCCTAGGGGTTGTGGTATAGATAAGGGCGAAAAATGGTTTCAGGATTCTTAAAAATGACAAATAGTCGGAGGTTATTACGCTAGTTCTTATTGAAACCGATATTTTTCTAAAAAAATAATTAAACGTATCGTAGCTGCGTACTGTAGCTTTCAAGATGGAACACTAGACTTTTCAAAGACTGAAAAACACATAGCGGGGGTTACGGTATCTGCAAAAAGGTGCACGGTTCCTTAAAAATGACAAGTGCAAAAGCTGGCTACCGTAGCACAATCGATCGAGACAGTGAATTACAGTTAAAAAGCTAAAAAGCTTCTTAAAAATGAAAAATATCGGGCTGACTACTGGAGTTTTCTAGGGCTGATGTTTTCTTCTTTATATTTTTTTCTTTTTTAAAATTTAGGATTTCTCGATTGAGGGTATTTAGAGCCCTAACTCCAAAAAATATTTAGGCTACGGTATGCTCGCAAAATCTGGCTATACAGGATTTCGGTAGAATTTCTAGGTTTCGGGGCTTGGCCTCACTGAGTCAACCAAATTGCCGCCATCAAATGACCCCGGCAAAATGACCCGGGCCCTTGAAAAAGGGCGCGCAGAGAGGGATTAGAGATGCAGAGACGCAGAGGAAACACCGGCCAGATACCCTGAGGGCACCAATTGGCACGCAGCCAAAAATGGTGCAAAGGAAGGGAAGTGGGCGGAGCCTGGAGGGGAGAACGTGTAAACAACAGACGGATAGACAGACACGCAGACAGACACACATACACAGGATGTTCTGCACTCCCGGCGTTGGTTAGGTCTTCTAGGCCGTATTCAAATATGAGCCCCCCGGGCCCTGCACCTACACACCCAAACCATTGACCCATGGGAACACGAACGGGGACAGAAGTGAATGCTGAGGGGAGGTGTGGATAGGAGCTGGGTGTAGGTGTACAGAACTGTCTGTTAGTCCGGATTTGGATGGAGATTAATTCAGGGAGCGTGAAGAGATTTTTGTGTGGAAAGCGACAGATAGAGAGATAGAGAGAGAGAACGATGGAGAGGAGAGAGACATAGCAAGATTCAATACGAGAGCGAGATAGAGAGACAGAGAGGGCATGGAGAAGAGTGAGAGAGAACGAGAAATGGCCAGATTGAGAGAGTAAGAGATGTCGGTGAGAGAAGGTGTCAGTGAGAGGGAGAAAGAAAGAAGAGCTAGTGTGAGAGAGTTGGTGATAGATAGAGAGACGCTGAGAATGAGAGAAAGAGCGAGAGAGAGATTGAGCGAGAGAGACTGAAATCATTACATTTCAAAAATTTTTAGAAAACTCACCTAGCCCAGTCTAGAAATGATTAGGACCTAGCCAGGGCAAGGCGAGGTTCTATTTAGAGAGTGAGGGGTCTTCTCGAGACCCCCCCCTGCTGCCGGATGCTGTTTCAGTTTCGAGTTGCGCGCTTTGCAAACAAAAAAAGAAGCTGGCACGGCATGGGAAGGTCAAAAATTTGTGCGGGTTGACGAAGCGTGGAGAGCTGGAAAATTAAAGGGACCAGAAAGCTGCATATCTTCGGACTGCGCATTAATGTGACGTTGTGGCTCGGGAACGGCAAAGTGGAAGAGAGAGTTAATGCCATAGATAAGCAGAAATGCTCAAAAACGACACCCTTACAATCAGAAGTCAAATTTCCGACCCCGCTGCCTCGCGTGCCATATGGCGAAAAGCTCGAATTGGGCTCCCGTCCACTTCATTAGCCAGCTGATGATGAGGGTGACAAGGGCGGGACACGCTTTGAATTGTGTCCTTGTGAAGCCGTAAAAGGCTTCGTGACGCTGGCTGGCAGATTTTAAAGGGACAACGACAGGCTGATAGGAAAGTACCGGGCAGCTGCACCGTTGAGGTCGAGAACTCGACATAGAAAGCGAGAGAGAGAGAGAGAGAGAGCGAGAGATATAGAGAGATATATAGAGCGAAAGAGAGGGGGAGAGAGGGAGAAAGCGTGAGATATAGAGCGAGAGAGATAGAGAGAGAAAGAGGCGGAGAAAGAGAATACGAGAGAGAGAGCGAAGGCTAGCGAGATAGAATAAAAGCGAGGGAAGTTCTTACAATTCCAGACGTTGCTTTTTGGGGCCTGGGCATTACTCATAAAAACAAAACAAACGCGTGAATCTAGGAGCAGCTCCCACGCCCGGAGTTCATTGCTGAATATTGATGAGCTCGACCGGTTGATCCTGAGTCACCAGATCAGCCCAGGAAGAGACGAACCAAAAAAGGGTTTAAAAAATTTGCTGAGGTTTGCTGGGAGATCTGGGCTAGCTTGCGTTTGTACCAGCTTCTGAAAATGGAAAAATTAAATTTTCGGGGGCTAAATAAATGTTCGGCTCGAATTCCGAGAGTGTTACTTCCAGTCAGCTGCCTTTCCACAAGGATCTCTGCCAGTCTGCCCCGAGTGGTGCTTTTTTCCGCTAACGTGCCAAGAGAAACCCTGTCCAGCTTCAGAAAATTCAGGATTTTATTCAAAATCTCAGATCTCCAAAAAGACCATACAGCCGTGAAGCCATAAGTGCCCCAATTGGGGCCAACCGTGTGGAACGGAAGGGTCAGAACGAGGCGGTTATGAAGTGTTTGTGCCGTGTGTACACGTCCTGTCTTCCTCAGCTTCGCAGCTTCAAATCCCTTCGGGGGCCCACTACAGGGCCCACCAGGTCGAGTGCGTGTGAATCAAGCTCTTCAGGGCCGACAACCAGAGTCCCCGGTGCCTATGGTATGGTACAGTGGAAAGCGGATGCGACGGTTTAAGGGGGTATTGGCTGTGGAAATCCACCCTTTGGAATGCTGGGCATCGACAAATGCGTGCAAATGTTTATAGGTGCGTCTTGTTAATTGTCGAGATACGGACGATGAAATGACGAAATTTAGTTGATACTAGGTCCCTTAAAAAACTGGAAAAGGCACGGCTGCGGATTTCCTATGGATTTTGCCGCGATTCGTATCGATTCGTAGCACTCCATCGAGTAAAAAAAAATAGGTGTTTTTCTCTTATTTTCAAGGCGTTTACTGCTGATAATAATTGGAGACAATTGGGAATTTTGTGATTTCTTTTAATTTCTCTAAAATCGCAGCCTCTGTTGACTTCTTGGCTCGAAGAACTACTCGATTTTTGCTAGCTCTTAAAATTTTCGTTCCCCTCGATTTGATAAGGAAAGGCCGATCCCTCGTAAAGGTAAATATTTGAGCGTGTTATTTTGTTGTCGCCTGAAAAGACTCTGGAATTTGCATAAATTTAGCTTTTCGCGTGTCACCTTGTGTCACCTTTTTGATGGTGTTTTGCGTATTGATGGACTCAATCAAAGTGGTGGTATTTTAAATTCCTAGAAGAATTTTTGAATTTTTTTTGGAGTTTTTAATCTACCATTATTGCGTCAACTATTTTGTATCAAAATCTTAAAACTTTTAAAGGTCCAGTTACGGGAAATCTTTAGGTATATATCATTAATGCTTAAAGCTATAGCCAAAAGTTCGATTCTACTTTTTTACAATTTTGAAAGCTTTTAAACCTTTAAAAAGACAATAAGCGCTATAAAATTTTTTTGCTTTTCCCCGAAATTTCAATTAATGCGTAAAAAATCGTTTTAAAGGAGCTGTGAAGGGAAGATATTGCTAACCCGCTATTTTCAGATCTAAAAATGGACACACGATTATCAAGATTTTTCAAGAACTTATGATATCACCACCATTCCTATAGTCTCAACTTTTGCACGAGCAGACTTCAAAAATTTGCTATATTAGGGGGTGCAAAAATTCGGGGATGATTTGTCATTGCCACTGATCTGGGGTCCCCTCTTCCAGAGTTTTTCCCCGCCAACACGATAAGCCATTTCCAGGCCCCCCCCCCCCTTCCATTCTCTTCAGATGTTGGCTGTGCCAATTATAGTCTTTCTGGGGGTCGGCTGTTGTGTGGTCAATGCCGTAACCGTTACTACAAAATTAGGCGATGTCCAGGTTTGTTAAAAAAATATTAAAATCATATTTTGCCAGTCCCTTTAAGGGATTTTTTTTTCCTAAAGGACCATATATACCACTATTAATACTATTAATATTACAGCGAGTTTAAAGGATCAGACAAGGCAAAATAAGGACAACGATAATTTTCTAGATTTTCGGAAATTCTTTTGCCTTCCCAGTCTCTTTAAAACCCTAGCACTAACGTCTAAGTAAACCTTGCCTGTCCCTTTAAATTTAAGTCTTGAAAGCAGCTTTGATATCCGATAAAGTTGAGCAGCAATGAAAACTGTTCCAGGGTTTCCACGTTGACTACACGAATGAACAGTCCAAAATCTATCGCGGCGTAGGTGATATATTTCTTGGCATCCCCTATGTACAGCCCCCACTTGGAGCACTACGATTTGCGGTGGGTATACGGTAGTTTTAGCGAATTTCAAGTCACTTTTAGGCTCCAGCGGCTTTGAGTAAGCTGCCGAAATCCCCGTGGGACGCTACATATTTCCGGTAAGGTTTTGTAAAATTATTTAAAGGTACCGGGAGGGCAAATCAAGGGGCAGGCTAGCAGAGAACACTGCGAAAACCACAACTAGCAGGGTTCCTTTAAGATTTGCCTTAAGTGAGCCAGGCCTTCGTCAACCTTCATGATCCCTTTAAAATCAAAAATTCAGATCGCCCTGCTCGCAGTCGTTGCAGCCTTGCGGATTCAACAGTACATCGTCATCTGAGGATTGCTTGTATTTAAATGTATTTTCACCAGATGTTGGTTTTTCACGGTTTTAAAGGACCATTGAAGGCAAAATCTGGCCCCTGTCATTCATATTTAACGTTTTTTTCAGGTGAAAACCGCAACCCCATTCCCGGTGATGGTATGGATCCATGGCGGGTCATTCCAATCCGGATGCGCTCAACAGTATCCGTATAAAGTAAGTTAAACTAGGATCTTAAATTTTCTAATTTTTCTATTTAGGGTGGTGTCAGTTCGTTTGTCTCGAGAGGCGTTGTTGTCGTTACCATACAGTATCGCCTAGGATTTTGGGGTACGGTAGCGGAATTTTTTGGGTTTTTAAAATGTGACCAGCTAGCTAGCTAGCTAGCAGTGATCCGTGAGGAAGGCAGTTTGATTCAAAACATAAAACTTCTCCTTTCATGACATGACCATGTCACACTCCCTTTAAAACCTCAAACATTTTTCAGGTTTCTTCACGACCGGATCGAACGAATTTCCCGCAAATCGTGGTATGCTGGATCAGGTAAAGAATTTTATAGAAATTTATATATTCGAATAAATGCAGAAAATATCGTTTTAGGTAGCCGCCCTCCGCTGGGTGCAAGATCATATCCGGGATTTCGGAGGTGACCCGACGAAGGTCACGATTTTTGGAGAATCTGCTGGAGCGGCTTCGGTTTCCGCGTTGACCTATTCGCCAATGGCACAATGTGAGTCTTTCTCGCTCTCTCTCTCTCTCTCTCTCTCTCTCTCTCTCTCTCTATCTCTCTCTCTCCCTCTCTCACTCTCTATCTCTCTCCCTATCTATTTCTCTTTCTCTCACTCTCTCTTTAAAAATATCTATTGTTTTTAGCCCTTTTCTCGCAAGCCATTCAAGAATCTGGCGCCACCGAAACCTGCCTGAACACCGACAACAAGTTGAGCATCGACGCGGCTAGTAAGGTAAGTTAGAAAAGGAATTCTAGACCTTCCTCAAGGTTCCCTACTAGCTTGCTTTGATAATCAGACGCCATTTTTAGCTGTGCGGCTTCACAGGGAACGATTGGAGCGGCAAGGACTGGCAGAAAATGACAAATTGTGTGCAGAACAAATCCGCCGTCGATATATTGAAATCGGTCGATATGGTAGGTTTCTAAAATATTTAAAAGGATTACCAAGGCCCAAAATCGACCCTAGCTTTCCACCGGGTCTCGACAAATAATTCTCCGTCAATACGAGTAACGAAACTTTAAAATTAAGTCCAAAACTAAGCATCATTTGACAACGTTTGTCGCTGGCAACATCCAGTCGAGCAAAGCAGTCTTCGCGTCCGTTTAAAGCAATCATTTTAGGCCTGGAATATGGTATACGATACCCAATTCCTCCCGGATACTCTTGAAAACCTCGGCAAGAAACGGAAGAATTTCCCCTCGCTGATCGGGGTGATGCGGGATGAGTGGAGCTATTTTGGTATGGGAATCGTTTGTAGCCTATAGTCTGTAGTTGTCCGTGGTTTGTAGCCTAAAGCAGGGTGGTGTCTGTATTTTGTAGCTGCTGCATTTTGCGTAGCATCTTTTTAGGATTCTTTTTTTAGTGCTTGGAAAGCTGCGTACCCAGGAGCTGTTTCTGTCAAATATGACCCGTGGATTCATCGAATATACCTTTAACTTTGATCATACTTATATGGGTGATAAGGAGGGAGAGGTGATGCGGATGCTCGAAAAGGTATCGAAACCTGAAAACCATGAAAACTATAGAATTTAGGTCTATCATCCGACGACTATTGCTGATGATGACTATGTTGGATGGGTGAAGTTGGCTAGTGATGTAAGGATTTTCGATTTTCACGCTTTCTCTCTTTCTTGCTCTCTCTCTCTCTCTCTCTCTCTCTCTCTCTCTCTCTTACTTTCTTTCTAAAACTATAACCTAATTTCAATTTTAGATGTACTCCGGTCAGTTCTTTGGAGGCCCAATGCAGCGAGATGTTGATCGATATTGGGCCAAGGGGAATAAGGACGTCTTCCTCTGGGAGCACGACTATTCCAGCAACGTTGGAAGGATCCTTTCGTTGCCTGGTTGGACGCGTGAGTTTCAAGAGTTCGGTCTCGGTTTCCTAGCTGTCGCCGTCCCTTTAAAACCAAAACCAAGAAAAATTTATCTAATTTTTCAGCGGTTCCCCACTGCTCCGAGTTGTTCTTCATGTGGTTGCCCGACGGCGAGTGGGCCAGAGCTGAGCAGGCGAATGAGGTGGGAGAGAACAGGGGGAGAGAGAGAGAGCTGGAGAGATAGAGAGAGATCCTCCTGTTTTCAGGTAATCCAATTCGACTACGACGTCGCCAACTTTTATGCAGATTCCTGGACGAAATTCGCCAAAACTGGGTACCATTCTAAAGCTTGCCTCTTCTACCGTATCCTAGAAAACCCATGGGAAATCAATGGGAAGCCGTGGAGCCCACGTTGAATCGCTATTGGAGGATATCACCGGATGGGATGAGGATGGCTGATGGGTGGAGACAGGTCGACTCGACTATGTGGAATAAGGTACGATAGAGTACGATAGTACGGTAAACTGTAGCTACAGTAAGACACATAATTGTTTTCTAAATAAGCTGATTTTTGGGCAATATAACAATTATTATAGCTATTTTATCTTAACAACCAATTTTCCAGGTGATCCCATCAATTCTCAGCCAACAGTCCAATGTTGCGACGACGGCGAGAAGTCCGGCTACGACTACGCAAGGCTCTGCAGCCTTGAGTTATACTTGCATAATTGTACTTTTACTGGTTTCGCTTTTATATTAGGATTTGGAGTCGATAGCATAAATTGATTTTGATGTGAGCCCAAAATGACAGATAGAGAATCGGAGAGGAAAGAGAGAGGGGAAGAGAGAGAGAGATAGACAAAGGGAGAGAGAGAGAGAGCGAGAGAGCGAGAGAGAAAATGTCGCAACTAATTGTTTCCAATCTCCGGGCAAATCCATTAACACCTCAAATACCTCAAATATGTCGGTCCGTCCCTCGCTTTTTCGGACCACAATTCTCGGCGGGACCCTCCCAGCGCAAAGTTTCCCAATTCTACCTTTTCATGGGAGAGAGGGGGAGCGAGCCCGACTGAGCGCCAAAAAACGAGAAATTCGTCAGCCCGGCCGGTCGAATGTTCCGGGCCGCCATTGACGGGAGAACTGTTTTCCGGCCGACCCTTGGATGAGATCGGCATCGAGCCCCCAAAAAAATCGAGAGTTTGCTACGGGGCTACGAAGTCGGAAAGTATGGTATTGAGGTGCCGTATAGTGACGGAATTGGCAAAGATATACCGTTACGTTAACGGCCCCTGAAAATTGATTTCCGGTCCCCAGCTATATACGTTTCCGGCGACCTCGTGAAATTCGGTTGTCCCCTCACCTCAATAAACACAGTTTGGGGGTCAGATGGTAGAGCGAAGAGAGAGAGAGAGAGAGAGAGAGAGAGAGAGAGGGAGAGAGGGTGAGATATGGAGGGAGATAGGGAGTGCTGTTTGCCGTGTGCACAGCCTCAAATATACAGAAAGACCTCACTTTCGTCTCTCTCTCTCTCTCTCTCTTTCTCTCCCTCACACTCTCCAGCCGATGAATCGATTTCTTTGCTCTTTTCACAGCGTGTATGCCATCCCCCCTGCTGAACCCGTGCTCAAACAATTTTTGAACCCCGTGGTGTCTGTGTGGACTCGGTTGACGGGTGGATTCGGGCCTTTGCGTCAGACGGTCAATCGGAGTGAACTGGAAAAAATGGAAAGCTCTCAGAAAACCATTTAATATTTATATTTGTTCGATGTCAGAAAGGGGGCGTTCCCTAGGAATCCCTGCTAGTTTGCCTGACCGCTTCCAATTTCCGAAAGAATTCCGTTTTTTACGGCGTTTTTTCGGGCTCGGTCGTTTGCAAGGTCTAATCAAGTTCGATTTCTCTCACGATCTTTGCTAGCCTGCCTTTGGTTTTTAAAAGTTTGATGGCTTTAGTAATGCGAGCCATTGAGAACCTATACTGGACGTTTGCTACTAGCATGTCTTAAATTTAGCGACATTTTAGATGTCATTTACATTTTCATTTTTTTCCTGGTCCACGCCCTCTAAAAAACGATTGTAAACGGATTGTACAGCTCGGCGGGCCGAAACGGCGCCGAGAGACCATATAGGCCCATCAAATATGAGGTGGCGTTTGTTGGTCGGTCCACATTGGGGACTCTATTAGCTGAGAGAGAAAGAGAGTGAGAGAGAGATCGAGAGAGAGAGAGAGCGAGATTGAGAGAGAGAGAGAGAGTGAGAGAAATCGATCTACCAACTGACCAAAACTGAAAGACCATCCGAAGTGTTCTTGATGATCGAAAAACCCCAATCTGGCCTTTCCCTTGTAAGGCAAGCTAGCCGAGATCGCTAGAGAACCGGAAATTACCCGATCCCCGTTCATAAAATCAGCTTTTTCCTTTTTTTCTTTTTTCTTCTAGCTGGAGGCTGGGTGGAAGTTATAAATTCCACCGCTGAAAGCTCGGCCCTTCAAATGCTTTCAATCAACACAACAGAGGGAGAGAGAGAGAGAGAGAGAGAGAGAGAGAGAGAGAGAGAGAGAGAGAGAGAAGAGAGCAAAGCGTCCGTCCTCTATAGCGATAAGATGGATGGGAATCGATGCAAAAACGTGATACTGTCACGCGCCGCGCCCTCAGCCTGAAATTTCCAAAAAAGTGGGGGCAGGCTAGCAAAGATTTTTAGGGAATTATGTTCCATGCTACGATTACAGCGTTAGTTTTGCGTATTTTCTAAGGCGTAATCAGTTTTTACCAATTTTACTGTAGTTACTTATTGTAGTTTGTAGTGTAAATTCCACGTCTTAACTATGAACAAAATTCATTCATAAACCTTATATACATGCCGAAAGGAGGACGGGGGGTCGTGTAGCGAATTTCAGGACGGGGGCCAGGGGAGAGAGAAAAACATCACAATATTCGCAAATATCCTATAAAAAATGTAAATTTAATCTTAAGAAAAAGTGTCGTTTTTGTAGCTTAAGAATTCAGAAAATTATAGCAAAACGCGGATGAGGAGGCTACCCAGAAAGAAGCGACAACAAAATTCGGACGTTAAAAAGGAGGGGGCAAAGCCGAATTGTTGAAGCTGGCGGACGGACAGACTTGGGCTTAGGCTTAGGCTTAGGCTTAGGCTTAAGCCCATGCAAAATCAGACTCACAGACAAATATCCAAATCACGGCTGGGCGGGCGGTATATACGTGCATGCAAATTGACACAGGGTGGCAGGGGCGAGGAGGAGGGGATCGCAAAAATGACAATTCCCCCCACAGCACCCCCGGAAATGACAATCAAATGACCACATCAATGAATAGAAAAGAGGCAACGGTTTTTGAGGGGTTTTGGGGGAGGTGGCTTGCCCCCGAGGAACTTCCGGCATACCGTGGAAACCCGAAAAAGAATCGATTTTTCCACGCGATTCCGGAAATTCCGGGGGCCCCTGACGGTGTAGTTGGCTAAATTGGAAAAACCTAGAGGCGTTCTAGCTATTTTTGGGGGACTGTAATTTGCATAAAAAGGTTGGAGAACCCCCCAAAAATCACTAGACCGAAAAAAGAACTGGGTTTTTTGACCATTAGTGGGGGAAACGGGAGAGAATCGTTGTGTATCTGTGTATATCTGGGGGGAACTGGACGGGATTTTTGCATATCAGAAGCTTTTTTTTCCAATTGTGGATTTGACTTCACTGTCCCTTTAAAATCGATTTTTGCAAATATTTTGTGCAATTTGAACCAAAGAATCGAATCGGCAGGTGTAGAAATGGACTAGATTTTTTCCTAAAAAATCGTAAAAATGATTTTAGGCCTGGTTAGCCTTTTTAAAGGGGCGAGGAAGTCAAAATAGGAAAAATAAATTTTTAAGTTTGATCTGAACTTGAAAAGATGCGATCAATGTTAAAAATTACTTTAAAGGGGCCAGGAAGTCAAAAAATCCATAGAATTCACTAGAAAATTTGCATCTTTAGATCAACCAGCTTTAAAGGGCCATTGAAGCCTTCGAAATTCCGCCCAGCTCCTATCTACAGCCGAAAAAAGGAAGCGGGGATGAAGCGGTAAATTCTGTCGTTTTTACGTCGAGTACTTGTAGTGTACGGTGGAGCGTAGTGTACGCAATTTACAGGTGCCTAATAGGAGGGTGGTAGATGAGGGGGAAGAGGGCTCCGACCAGAAAGCTTCATTCAAAAACAAAATTGGATGAAAATTCGGCGATGACGGGAAGGCGTTTTTTTTAGATTCTCTGGATCTTGTCGGAGACGACGACGGGATTATTCTTACGCAGCTCCTCCCTCTCCATTGTTTTGTAGTCGAATGTACAGTTGTGGGCCAGATCATAGCGATGCTCAGAGCAATAGAGACCTCCGCAACGGCATGGGAAGCCGGTGAGTCCAACACGTTTGTTGCACGAATGGCATCGATTCGCCTTTTTCGTGGAGGTAGACGGGGCAGGGGAGGTATCGGCTGAGCCGGAGGAGGCGTCGAGCTGAAAAAATGGTTTTGTAAATTGGAATTTACATTTTAAAATTAATAAAAAACCGTTTTGATTTTCTAAGCACTGGGACTCGATAAAAAACAAGTTAAGCTGAAAAATCATTGAAAACTCGCTTTTTCGTTTTTTTTTGGAGACCTAGAGCCCGATAAAAATTATCCTAGCGTTTTTAAATTTTCATTTTTGTAAAATCTATACTCGTAGACGGACTTTAAAGGGACTGAGAAGTCCCAGAATCCTATGGATTCAAAACTATATTTTGTTTTTTCATTTTTATGATTTTGGCGCAAAAATAATAATCAAGCATTACGCCATGAAATACATCGTTGAAATTTGCATTGATCTAAGAAAATTTGTAGTTTAGGTTGAATTCCAACGTTCCGTAAATGGGCATTTCCGGAAAGCCATTGACGCATTTCGGGGTGATTTTTCAGCTGCCCCCAACCCGGGCTTTTGCCTTTTGGCCCCCCACCCGCCTGCCCCGATTTCTAATTAGACTGTTGATTTGGGGAGACACGTGTTTTCCCGGAGCGTTTCGTAGCCGTCATCGACTCGTCAACCACCCGGCCACAAAATCACCCCCGCCAGAGTAGACGCGTGACACCAAAAAACGCCGGCCCGGTAATTTGGGTTGGTGGGGGTGATCCGGGTGATTTCGCAAACACGGAAATTAACGGCGTCTTGCCGCGTAAATTGGTGGGTAGCGGAATTGAGTGGGAATTTTTGATGGGTGAAAAAGTACGGGTCTGGCGGTAATTTCTGATGGCAAATTGGCTTTTAAAGGTATCGGAAACAACCGAGTATTCCGAAAATTCGAAAAAAAATGCAAAAACCGATCGGCCGAATTTCAATGAAACTTAAAATTTGTCTTAAGGTAATTCAAAATTTTAGAACAAATTGCCTGAAAAAATCTGCTTAATATTTTACAGTATTCAGCGGGTATTAAATAGGGTTTAACTATCATTTAATTATAAAAAGGCTACGGAAAATTCGAAAAATTTCGTTTTTACCAAAAATCGAATTTAACGATTTTCAATGCTTTTAAAGTTTTTTTTTGCATTTAAGAGGAGCGAATGATATGCAAAGCTATATATTTAAGCTTCTTAAAGCCGCGAAATTTAAATAAAAAGTTTAGCCTAATTTTTATAAGATCCCTCTCCCCTTACGGGTCGTTGACCCCATCAATATTTGACCTATCCACCCTAGAGCTATCTACCGATTGCCCCCTCTTGCCTTTTTCTTTCCTTTCCCCCTGACCGA